AGCTGGGCATAAGATACGTCCCTATTTTACACTGTATATCATAGAGCTGACACAGATATTCCTATCTTTCTTGAAGTATCATCTGAATTCCACTAGACCTCTCAGGATCATCTTGTATATTCCTTGATTTGCTATAGAGCTCTGAATATATTATGGATTTCCCGCATTTTTCACAATTTTTCTGGCCCTTCTACAGCCTGCAATCAATTCCAGATACCAATGATTTAATGGCTCTGCAGATTGGGTGAACCTGCAGAGAGCCTATGTCATAGAAGGCAGGAGCCAATCAGAGTCCAGGAATCCAAGCCGACGCGGCCCGCACCTCAGCCACTGACTACAAGCCACTACAATAGTCAATTCCCACGATAAGCAATAAAAGTAAAACCGCCATGCGGACTAGGACAAGACACACAATCGATAAATTCACCAAAATATTGTTGTAGACCCGTATAGCATACGCCCAGGACTAGAGAAAATAAAAGAGAGATAAGACGAAGAATTGAGCCCGCAAATGAGCAAACAATGGTCCCAGAGACTACAAAAATGCACCAAAAGTGGTTTTGTAGTCTCACATACAACCGGACATCCAATCGGAGTTTCAAAAATGTAGTCTGCAATACAAAACATAACTCCCACGACTTCTCGGCACAAACAGTTCTCACGGGGTACAACATTCGGCACGCAGGCATATTTTGCGCGTAAGGACTCGTCCTTCGTACCTCAGGACTCGTAATAATCCCTAGGTCCAAAGCCGTCTGGGGAGACGATGCCAATGCATTCAAACCCCAGAGGTGGATCAAAGATGCTCCACCGGCCAAGGCGGGTGTAGCAGTGGGTGTCATAGGCAATCTGTGAGTGCCATACCACTTCGTTCGACTGCAATTGGCCTTGCTGAGCACCGTCCATGAATCAATCAAGTATGACATTTCTGAGTGGCCCGAGAGCCTGTATTGGCTGGAGGTTTGCGTAAGTATGACAGGACTTTCAGATCAGTTTATATGAGGATGCAAGTTGAACACGCGTACCTTGCAGGATGATAGAGATGCAATTTATAGTGGTTAGCCTTGTCAACCACTTTGAATTCCAAGTCGAGAAGAGCGTCCCCGAAGGGGGCAATGCTGCGACGTTCCCGCTCGTGGACGGAGAAGATGATAAAGGTCCGCAGTTGCCATTGCGTATATCACTCGTCCAGTGCTAGTAGTCTCCGAGAGAGAAATAATTACATACTACTACATGTGCTACTACATGCCAGTGTGAAATGAAACTGTGGCTGCAGAGCATTGCGAAGTTCCCACGGGCCTGCTTGTCCTCTTGCCTGGCAGTGTCAAGCACTCTTCGAAATGTCCGCGTGCTATAAGACCCCGCTGCGTTCTTCAATCAGGGCACAAAGAGTATTCCCTTCGACCATCCTCAGAACTGTCCTAAGACGTTCCGTCGCGTCGAAGCCCGTATATGAAGGGCACATACCTTTAAACGCACTCGAGAATGCTTTCCTAGCTGTTGGATCCGCGGTCATGTCTCTCGCAGACCCGAGAAGAGGCGGTACGTAGAGTGACATAAATTTGAGCGAGATTCAAATGCCTATCTCTAGTTCAGATATGATTGCGGCACTCGGAGAGACTACCGCTGGTCCGGCATTACCTCGTCTTCGAGATCTTATGCTGGAAAACGCGGAAGGCCGCCAGATTCTGAAGGACAGACCACGAGTGAACTCTCATACGGTGGATATGGACGCGTTGGCCCGACTACCTGAAGGTACATTCGGCCGGGCGTATGTGACCTGGTTGGAACGATGCGGCGTAACGCCAGATACACGAGAGCCGGTGAGTGCAGCGCTGACATTCGTTCGCGCGTTCAGATCGTGTCAATAGACTTTCCTCGACACAGGTACACTACATCGACGACCCCGAGCTAGCCTACGTCATGCAGCGCTACCGCGAATGCCATGACTTCTACCACTGCATCTGCAACCTCCCCGTCAACGTCTCCTCCGAACTCGCACTCAAATTTTTTGAGTTTGTGAACCTCGGCCTGCCCGTTGCCGGCATCTCCGCCGCGTTCGGTCATCTGCGACTGTCCTGGCCTCAGCGTCAGCGACTCTTCGCGGAGTACGTCCCCTGGGCACTGAAGTGTGGGAGCAGTGCGCGGAGCATGATCACCGTGTATTGGGAAAAGCGGTGGGAGCAAAGCGTGCAAGAGATGAAGAAGGAGCTGGGGATATGGGATCCCCCCGAAGCAAAGTGGCCTAAAGCCCTGAGCGAGGCGAAAGCTGCTGCTGCCAAGCGGGCAGCTGTGCCGTCTCATGGAGAATCTCAATCACATGTTGTATAGACCTCAATCTTTTGGCCAACTTGCTGATAGATATCTGCGATCCGCCGCAAACAATGTTATATCACGGCTGTGATCTACTACCCCTTGTCAACCGCGTATAGCTTCGAAGTGACTATAACGCATAAATTATAGGGTCTAAGTCTTTTTCTTGTGAATTTCTCTACACATACGTAGAGAAATATGATATGCAAGTAGAATGGACGTGATATGAATGCTCTCCAAAAAATGTGATTTGTGCAATATTGCGAGACATGCCAGGAAAAAGGAACCTGATCAATCCCCAAGGGATCACCTCACCATCTCCATCAAATATCTAATCCTATGCCAAGCGGCCAATCTTCGACCTTCCCCCAAAACTCGGGAGCTTTGATGACATCGACATGCTCTTCGGCACCGGCAACTTAGTCTCGGTCCCGGTCCCAGAGAACTTGTGCATCGACTGCGAAGGAACCCGCAAGCCGGAGATCTTGGGTTTTGACTCGCCATGACTGGTCACCTGCTGCACAGGTTTCTTGGACTCTGCCACAGCGCGCGGGAGCACAGGAGGCCGCTGCACCCCCGTGATACGTGCGGGACCCATTCCTGACCTGCTGGTCGGGACTAAGGCGGACCGAGTCCCAGCAAGTTGAGTGCTCATGCTGGCCGTGGGCGCAATCGGCTTGTGAGTCGAAGGAAGCACAAACTTCGAGCCAGGAGCGGGTCTCTGAACGCCTTTCACCACGACACGAGGCTGAGTTGAGATGACGCCCCCAGAAGTGGACGCCGAAGGGGCAGCAACGGATGGTCTTCGGGTTGCGCGAGACGCAGGAGCGGGAGCCGCAGTAGGCCTCGCGGGTGGATGGGCCGGCCCTTCAGGACTGTGGGGATCAGCGGAGAGAGTCTTGTAATGACCTTTGCCTGTCCCGGCGCGCTTCACGATGCGCAGGGCAGGCACAGGTTGAACCGCGGGAGCGGCTTGGGCGAATGATGGTCTCGTCGACGGACTGCAAATGTCCGCGCGAGATAGCCTACGTGGCTTGGTCGGTGCTACTGGTGTCCCATTTTCGTCTGTTTCGCATCAGAGTAAGATGTGGCAGTTAAGAGTGATGCTACAACCGAGCAGAACGCACCGATGGAATTCGACCCGGCTTCCTTACTGGAACCCGGGGAGCATTGCGGCACAGAGTGCCGTATCGCGCCTCTAGCACTGGGCTGGGGGGCTGATGACGACCAGTTTAGTTCTTACCAGCAAAGCGTGCGTATAACGGACTTACTCGATTCCTGTGAGGTAGACAGCCCTGGGGCCGTGTTATTTTCCGGGGCTATACGAAAGATAACAGTTAGTCAGGTGGAGGTAGTAGCATACTTATAGGGCGCACTTATGACGGAGAACTTCGAGGTAGCCTGAGGTGTAGATGGTGTGGGAAGGCGGTCCGAGTCCCTGTGACCCAGATTCTCGAGTTGAGAGCTAGAGCTTGACAGATCTTCCGCGGCATCGCTAGCAGGTCGAACAGGTCGCGCCTCAGCCGTAGTATCCTGCTCTGTCTCCTCGGGACCGTTGGGGCCAGATCGCTCATTCTTAGCGATGATCGCCTCCATAGCCTTCTCCTCAGCCTCAATATCAAAATCGTCTTCCGGAGCTGATTCATTCAAGAACGAGATCCTGTCATTCAGCAGATCGAAGGATGATTCCGCTTGGAGATGCATATTGAAAGAGGTGTGTAGATCAAGGGAGTTGCGGTTCTTGGACCTTAAAATATGCCTCGTACCGGATTTCGGAGTCGCACCCTGGGGTGCGAGATATGAACTAGAAATTGCCGACGATGTGCTGGCGGATGGCGGCAAAGAGGACAGGGAGGCGTTAACCAATAGGTTAGTCGTGGACGAGGGGATGAGGTGCGCAGTAGACGTATCCAGCGATGGCGCGTAAGATGCATCTTCTTGAGGTGCCCGTGAGACGACTATGGAAGTCGGTAGCGTACTTAACTCAGAGGATGACAGGTCCCCTTGATCGCTGGCGGCAATTGTTTCTCGGGCGGGGTTGGCAGATGTCGAATCCAGAATAGCAGTGCGGAGGTCACAATTCGGGAAGGAATGAGCGGTATTGGTCTTGTATAAGTGTTCCTGGGTCACGTCCGATTGTGCGGGGGATTCCGTATTGGCTAGAGGTCGCAAAGCACTGACAGCCGGCCATTAAGTACAGAGCAGCATGTAACAATGGTTAGACCTCCTTACCGCTCCTGCAGTTGATTAATTGCAGACGTGTTCTCTCGATTCTGCGGCTCTGTCTCCCCCCATTGGTCGTCTTCAAGATTGCCACTTTCTATGTCCACCAATTGCCCGCTATACTCCCAGAGCGAAGGTCCTTTCTCAGTTGTATGAGTAGAATAAGTCTTGTTAAAGAAAGCCGTGAGTGTCAATCTCTCTTGACCATCTCCTTCGTTCTCCTTGTCCGACTCGCGCAAAGTAGGCGATTTGGGAGCAGAAACTGAAGGAGATTTCAAAGGGTCAAACAAGCTAAGCAAACTCTGCCGTGGTCCGCTCATGATGGTCGTTACAGTTTAAGCAAGGGTCGTCTCAGCAGGTAAATGTCGGAGTGGAAGCGGGGAATGTCGCGAGGTCACGGAAGTGGTGGCATCACACGCGACGTCGCACGTGTCAGTTGAACTTAGTCACGTGCTACTAGTTATGTCAGCAACGTGAAAGGCAAGTTCTGTAGTTCAGAGCTTTGTGGCCGTCTACGCTGTTTTGAGAGATACAGTACTAGGCCGGCGTCGTGATTGACTTGTACCATATTATGGGTATGCGTTCTCTAAGGTCTATATCGAGAGTAGTACGCCGGATGATGCGCATCTTGATGGCGCCGATATATAATCAGAACGAAGTCTCTCCTGTGAGTCCTTTCACCCCCATCTAAGATAAAAGGGCTAATAACGACAGGTTTATCAAGACGAAAGATACTGTCTTATAGCAACGGTCACAATTTTCTCCGTATTGAGATGATCGGTAGCGTCCGACCGGAAATCCGACGGTCTTCGTGATATCTGATACCCAACCTGTAATTCAGTTGCATTCAGGTACTCTGCCCTCGAATACCCAGCTATACCCTGTACCATGACAACCAGCACCTGCTGGTAATTCTATTCTGTGGTTCGAGGATGTGATCTTTACTGGGAACGCGTATATATACCTGGCCTTTAGCGCTGCAATGCGATACCCTCCCCTATTAATCATGGAGAATGAAATTCTAGGCACCGTTTTTGCCCCGCTGCTCCTCGGATTCATGGTAGCAACAGCGTAAGTACCTGCTTATGACACACTGTACGCTACCTGAGCTTTAGCTTCATTTCCCGAACACAGATTGTATGGGATCACCTGCGGGCAGGTAATCCGCTACTATTCTACCTATAACGATGATCTACCTTCCACGAGAATGCTGGTGAGCTGAGTCTTGCGTATGCCATGACATATCTGAGGAACATACACTCATAGGTTGGATTAGCCTTTGTGGTGCGTACTCTGTCATTTAGAGATTAATCACTAAAATTCCCTTCGCAGATGGATACGGTACAGCAGCTCCTCATGAGCGATACCATCTGGTTCTACCTAATTTACCGTTCCGCTGGAGACTCTCCATCTATCCGCAAAGCTTACTGGCATGTGTACCTTTGCGTAATATGCCTCTCAGACTTACCTTCCTTCCAGGTCCCTCATTGCATGTTCTTTTTTGTTCGCACTGCTTGCGCTTCATATTCACCACTTGTTTCTCAGGTCTACGTTGTACCGACTGTGGGTCTTTTATCATATTGAAAGTCACGCGAGTCTTATTGATGGTGCCCGACAGGAGACCGCGGTGGTTATTGTTCAATGGCAAGTCTAATAAGAAACGTTTTCTAGATCCCGCTCTTACCTTACTAAGGTCCAGCCTTTTTGTTCGAAGAATCTGGATTGGTAAGGTCTTATTAAACGATTGGCCGTCGTCTCACCTGCGCGTCAGTGTCTGAGCACAACCCAATGACCTACTTGTTTGTAAGTTTGGCGTACTCCTCGCGGTACACTTGCTGAAGCTCTAGCAGTATCTCCCTATTGTGGTGGGCACACGTATGCGTTCTATTCTTACTAGATATAGTAATATGTATACTGACATATATTGCTGTGGAAGTCGGAACAATAGGTAAGTACGTATCTGTGGAATATGATGTTTTCTTACCCTACATTTAAGGCTACGTCACGAAAAGGTATTATTGCTGCATTCCAGTCCATTGATCATTCGTGACGCCCTGGCCTAGCTTCATGTTTCCGGATTTCGAGAACGGATCTAAATACGAAGTACGCTTGACCGAATATTTCTCCTTGAGACATTGTTGACCGTTGTTGTAGTGGATTGCGATTACAACGGCAGGATGTCGGACGATCACAGACCTTGCCATTGGTGTGGCGATTTGCATAGCTCTCAAGGCTAAAGCTGGATTACTATGGAGCAAGTACGTTTCTCTCTCGAGACTCTTATAGCTCTACTCGACGCTCACCATCTCTCTACTGCCAGTTCATTCGTCAAACTTATTGGGGACCTGGCAATCGTATCGGGGGTCCTTACGAGGTACGCTGCTCGTACGCTCATATCATGATACAAGAAGATCAAACATGAGAATAGCCTCGCATCCACAGCTTACCTGATCTCGGTATGTCTAACGTTCTCCTCCGTACCGTTGCCCTAATGCGCGGTGTGCACGTGTAGTTGATCACTAGGCCTTCGAACTTGACTTACACTGGGTTGTACTATGTATACGGCAAACGTAAGAATTGATTCCCTGTTCTCCCAGAACGACAACTGACTCTGAGCTCCACAGTTCATGTTAATACTCTACTAGCCGGGTAAGCTTGCGGTTCGACTCATATCTACCGTCCCCGCTGATCAGTGGGACCCATTCTCAGACTTAACGCAAGAGAACTGCTCAGAGCTCTTGCCAAGAACCGCTTTGTCCCTAGGGCCCCTCCAGGATGGCCCCGGCTTTTTCGCAATAATTCGTCGCATCGGACATTCCCCTTTCCGAGTGTCTGATTTCCTTGCGCTTGACATCTGTATTTTATTGGTCTTGTACTATACCTCTCAATTTCCAGGTGGACTTAGACACATTTATTTCACGGCCTCGACTTCACATATGCCTTACGTTAGCCGGCGTTGTACCTCTCAATATTTGTTCGTGTTCCATTTTTCATGACCGTGGACTCTGGTGCCACATAGGCACGTGGACTTACTTAACTTAGAAGCGGCTTAATCAACGTACTTAGTCCGGGCTTTGCCACTGTCATTACATTTCTACTTGCTACGATGAGTACTGAAACGGCTGTAACGATTTCTGAACCGCATGCTGTGGTGAACACAACTAAGAAGCAAAAGAAACTAAAACCTGCGCGGAAACAGGTCAAGCCGGGCGAGGTGGAGAAGAAAGAGGCGCCTCAGACCGGTCAAGTATACAACATCTGGTATAACAAGTGGGCAGGCGGTGATAGGGAGGATAACTACTCCAAGTGTGTATCCCTCGTGCCTTTACTTTGATGAGATGACTTACTGACTTCATCACAGCAAAACTAAGTCGCAGACGCGCTGCAACATCCGTAAAGATGCGGGCCTGACGCGCGCCAACACGACTGGGATGAAGTACTATTGCCTCTTCTTCGCGCGGGGATGCTGCCCGTATGGTTGGGAATGTGAATACCTGCACATGCTGCCTGACGAGTCGACGGAGCTGCCGGATAACTCAAAGGACGTGTTCGCGCGGGACAAGTTCGCAGACTACAGAGATGATATGGGCGGTGTCGGAAGTTTCCAACGGCAGAACAGAACACTGTACATCGGACGGATCAAGGAGACAGGAACGGGGCCTGAGACAGAAGAGGTGGTTAAGCGGCATTTCAAGGAGTGGGGAGAGATCGAAAAGAGTGCGTCTCTCTTGGACCGTATTTCCTTCTGAACTTCTTGTCTGAAATCTCTCCAGTTCGAGTACTACAATATCGCTCCGTCGCCTTCGTCACGTACGTCTCGGAGCTAAACGCCCAGTTTGCCAAGGAGGCGATGGCATGCCAGTCACTTGACAATGACGAAATCCTCAACGTACGATGGGCCACGGAGGACCCGAACCCGACGTCGAAAGTGGCGGAGAAGCGGCGGCTGGAGGAAATCGGACAGAAGGCTATCCAGGAGAAGATGGACCCACGGATCGTGGATGCCATGCGCGCTATGCGGGCGCTCGAGGATGGCGACGTGTTGGATGAGACGGAGGAAGGAGATGACGGCCCGGATACGAAGCGGCGGAGACTGGAAATCGAGGATGGGAGAGGAGAGAGCGAAGAGCCGGACTACGAGAATGAGGCGGAGGAGTTGCTGCGAGAAGAGGCGGAGCAGAAGAAGGCAGGCCTGCTCAGCACGGACACCCTGGAATCGTTGAAGTATTTCGCAGAAATACAGAAACAAACCGGTGTGGCAAGACTGGCCGCGGTGAAGCCCCCTCCAGCTCCAGCTCCTGCTGCGTTAGGTCTGGCGGACTATGCGAGCGACGATGAGTAGACCTTTTGTAATATAATGTGCTTGCACTCCTTTGTCGATTTTTCTCTTTTATTCGACAGAAAGGATTCCTCGAAAGGTTCCCATAAATGCGCTCACAGTCGATAAACTGATGCCGTTCATGAAGTGTACTAGATCGAAGCAGGAACTCTTTATATCCTCCAGGCACTGGATATCGTCCCTCGGAGTTGCCTATAAAGACAATTGTAGTGGATATATTGTGAAGTGACAGTGTTGGTCAGTCCGTAGATCATGACATATATTATACATCCTAGCAGCGATCATTGTTACCACATCACTCCCGACCTCCTCCACTTCCGTCCGCTTCGCCACCCCCGTCTTGCAGCCCAAGCTCCCGGAGCCTCCGCTCCTCCTCCTCCAGGTCCTCCTCCTCCTTCTGCTTCCTGTACTTCTCCAGGTCCCAGTCCTCCTCTTCGTCGTCGTCCGAGTCCTCGAACCACTCGGGATTGTATTGGAACTGTGGCGCAAAGATCAGCACTTGGGGAGTGATGACAAAGACACAGACGTACAAGATCTCTGCCGCTCATTCCCGTGTTCTTCCCGGCTGCCGCGGCGGTGCTCTTTGCCTTGCGGATGGCCTCCTCCTCTGCTTGCTTCTTGTCCATCCGAGTCTGTTTCCACTTGGCGAACGTCTCTGGCGTCACTGGCGTTAGGTTGCTGCCCAGTTTGTGCCGCTGTGTTCCGGGCGGTCAGAATGGCTCAGCCGCACTCAGGGAGACATGGGGATTGCGCACCTCGACTTCCAAGAATTCCTCAAGACTGATCTCCGCTGCTTTGGCAGCGTCCTCTTCACGCTTCTTCTGCGATTTGAGGACGAAGCCTGGTGGGAGGGCGTGCCGATATTGGCAGTTCTCGCCACCATTTGGACATTCCCAGAACCAACCGAACCTTTGTGCCAGTTCGTCAGCAGGATCATAGGTTGCTATGCAAAGGGTACCTACTTTCCAGATTCGATGGCCTCGATGAAGTACTTGCATACGATCTGTGGAATTATAAGCGTGAGGGCATGTGAGCGGTCTGAACAGGTAGTGAACGAACGTCTGTCGTTGTCCGTGGATTGCCATGTTTTGATAACACAACGCTACGAAGCTTCTCTTCGTCCCATGTGTCCATCGTATCTGTGCCATCCGTTCATTCGCAAGTGACCCTCTCCGGCTTTGTAACCAGAACGTACCCTTCGCCTTGTCCTCTCTCGTATCCGCATACACATTCCTCTTCTCGACCTTCCTCTCCACGTTCATATCATGGCTGAACTTACACTTGCTCCCCTTCTCGCAGTTCCCAGCCTTATAGAACACACACAGCACTGTCTTCGGGTCCACGCCGAACGGCACCTTCTGCGTCTGCACGGGCTTGAGCAGCGCCGCCTCCTCTTTCTTCTTCTTCTCTGCCTCGAATTTCTCCTTCTCCCTCAGCGCTTTCTCCTTCTCCTTTTCCAGCTGAGCCCGCGATTTACCGGCTTGCGCTTGCTGTGCTTGGATCTGGGCTACCTGTTTCTGGACCTTGGCGGATTTGTTTTTCTAGCACTCGGTCAGATGCTTGTTCGGCGGGCCCCTATATAAATAACCGTACATTTTTCATACCAAAGGTCTGCATTTCTTCATCAGGCACGTTCAATTGAACGAAACGGAATACAAACGAGCCTTATCCTCTTTAGGCTTCGAGGAGCTTGCCTTCGGTTGCTGCTGCTTCTTTGGTGGCATGTTGGGCGATGCTAGAGAGTGTGGTCAAGCGGAATTGTGGCAGGCAGAGGGGGCTCTGAGGATATGGCGGACAGCTGTGAAGCTGCAGACTGAAGGCAAGACTTTGTATGAATGTGAGCGTTACGCAGGTCACAGTGACAGCTCCTGCTTTCGACGGCGACGACGCGCTCACTCAAGCGCGCTATATGGGCTCCACATAGGCTATTTTTTGCTTTTCTGGGCTCCAGCTTATGGATAATTCGCCTGGAGTACTGTTCACTGTGCTGGCTTACCCAAAAAATGCGTCACCTGCGCCCCTAATCTTGGGGAGTTCGGGTACCGACTTGAGCAATACAAGCGAGAGCAGAAGCAGCAGGCGAGCTGGAGTAGAGCGGTGGATGCACCTTCAAAGATGCTGCTCCCCGAACCGCGTCGCTGGCGCTCCTAGTCTTTGGGAGTTTCGGGTTCGCCCAGTGGCAGCTCCGGGAAAACTGCAGCACCAAGGATGTCACCCGTTTGCACCAAGGTCAGTCCTTGCACCACCTCTGTTACTCATCTGTTCCCCATGGATAGAGGAGCATCGATGCACCTCTGCGTGTGCTCTCCTATGCTTGCAGCTATGCCCATCCCCATTTTGGGCACTGCACCTCATACCGCCCTGCACCTTGCACCTCACTGCACCTCGCACCATGCACCTCTCGCCTCACACCGCACTGCACCTTGGCCACTGCACCGCACCCACAGCACCCACACCGCACCGCACTGCACCGCACCGCACCGCACCGCACCGCACCTTGCACCTCGCGCCGCACCTTGCACCACGCCCCACGCCCCTCGCGCCACACCCCGCACCTTGCACCTGCACCCCGCACCTCACCTCGTGCCTTGCACCTCACCTTGCGCCACAACTCAGGGTGCACCTTGCGCGGCGCCTCGCCTCGCACCCGCACCCCGCGCCCCGCGCCTTGCACCGCACCTCGCACCCCGCGCCCCGCGCCCCTCGCCCCTTGCACCTGCACCTGCACCTATCACTTTGATTGGCACCCCCACTGGCCCCTACACCTGTGTGCCCCTGCGGCATGTAGCAGCACCTCAAAGCGCTCAACACTGCTCCGCTGCGTCTCTCTTAACCTCTCTTTGACCTAAACTAAATTGCTCCTCCCGACTCCTAGAGTTTGGGAGATCCCGGCTTCACCGGTTCGCGTCGTCGGGACTCCTAATTTCCGGGAGTCCCGGCTCAGCCACGATCTCCAAACCCCCGCCTGGTGGCCCATTTGCGGCGGGAAGCCCTTCGGGCTTTCTCCCGTAATGCTGTGTACCCCCCCTTCATGTGTGACCTGCCAGCGGGAGGAATACAAAGTTCGGAATTCTATGCCGCCGTGAGGAACGAGCAGAGGCATAGAATATAGACTTTGTATGAATGTGAGCGTTACGCAGGTCACAGTGACAGCTCCTGCTTTCGACGGCGACGACGCGCTCACTCAAGCGCGCTATATGGGCTCCACATAGGCTACCTTTTGCTTTTCCCTCCCTGCCCACCCTTATGTTTGATAAGCTGCAGATTGTACAATGCCTGGTAGCTTTCCTCTCTCCACACTGTTTTTCCCACTGGGTTTTCAGGTGGCATGAGAGGTTTTGAGGCACCCATGGCTTTCATTGCACCC